CTAAAACAAAAACAAAAGCAAACTAAGCAAACAACTAGAACAGGAACAGAACCACAGAAATGGAGATCACATGGAGGGTTATCAACAGGGGAGTGGGATGGGGAGAGAGAGGGAAAAGGTACGGGGAATAAGTAGCATAAATGGCAGATAGAAAATGGAAAGGGGGAGGGTGAGACTAGTATAGGAAATGTAGAAGCCGAAGAACTTATAGGTATGACCCATGGAACTGAACTGAAGTGGGGGAATGTGGGTGGGAGGGGGTAGAGGGTAGTGAAGGGGGAAAATAGGACAACTGTGATAGCATAATCATTAAATATATATATTTTAAAAGGTTTATGTAATTAATCCTATTTGTCTCACTAGAGGGTGTAGTGTTTTCCAAAGAAGAGCCTTCTATATTTCCAATATTATATAAATATATGTTATTTCAGATGTTTTATAGAAAAAGCCAAACATTTAAAAAAGCAATTATTAAATATTTTAGATAACCTTTTTTTAGACATTCTTACATATTAGCAAGGAATCTAAATTCTAGGAACTTGATAAAATTCGTTTATTCTTGAAGGAATATTTATGACACATTCGTGGATATCAAACTCTTTTCTAGGCTTTTGATCACAATGGGATTTATCTAGTGGAGGTAAGAATATAAGGGGTAACGGGCCAAAAAACATCATGTAGCATTTTTATAAATAAAATGAATTAATCTCTGTGGACCTCTGAGCTTCTATAGTGTGTGGGCTTATTTCTTTCATTACATTTATTCTTTGCTCTAATTCTTTTTCTAAGATTTTATTTATTTATTTTTAGAGAGAGGGGAAGGAGGAGAGAAAGAGAAGGAGAGAAACATCAATGTGTGATTTTCTCTTTCACACCCCTGCTGGGGACCTGGCACACAACCCATTCATGTGCCCTGACTGGGAATTGAACCAGTGACTCTTTGGTTTACAGGCTAGCACTCAGTTCACTGAGCCACACCAGCTGGGGCCTTTGCTCTAATTCTTGATTTAAATGTCTTTCCATTTCACTAAAATGTAAACCACTTAAGGGCAAGAATGTACCTCATTCATCTCGGAATCCCAGGTATCTACCCAGGTAGCTGGCTCATTATAGTGGCTCAATAACTATCCCTGCATTATAAATTGCCCCTTTCCTTCACAAATGAATATTCGTAGTCCTGCCTTCTTTTCCTTCCTTCGTTAGCCCACCATCCCAAAATAAAAACCAACACTAGTTCTATGCTGAAAACAGCTCAAATCCCCAAAGACTGGTGTTTGCATATGTGATACTCAATCAAACACACTTATATTTTACAAAATATTGAATAGCTACAGATAAAAAAATGTCATTCAGAAAAGCAATAGGAGAATTCTATACCCTTCTAAAGCCAAATTCTCAGGAAGTATTTTTAGAGAATTTACAAGTCTTCTGAACTTGTAATGAAAATCTAAGTGAAACCATAAATGGAAGCCAGAGTTATTCATTAACACTGGAGAAACATCAGCTTACAAGTGTGGGCAGAAACAGAGTTGCAGAGCTAAGGATTTATGATTCTCACCAGAGTCTTGCTGGGAACAATATTGTCTTGTTCTGTTACACGCCTGAGCTCAGGGAAGCTCTTTTCAGGGGTTTCTAACTGCAGAGCTTAACTGGGTGGCTGAGATACATTTCCATCTTCTAGAATAGAGACCTGCTCTTGCCTCTCTGGAAATGAATGAACAGTAACAGCCCTTGGTTACAATTAGCTTTCGCTTTTGGAGCATTTCCCAAGGGTGATATGTGAATGCTTGAAGGAGGAAGTTGTGAGGCTGATCTGGAAGCTGGGGCTCTGCTGAGGTAAATGTGCTCTTGTGGGATGTGGCTGTAAGCGCAGTATGTGCTAAAATGTAAATAACGCAGCAGGAGCACCAAACGCCCTCCCTACCCCATCCTTTTTTTAAATTGGAGGACTATTCTGAGCAGTTATAGACATACATATGTAGATGCATTTATATTTATGTTACGTAAAAAACCTGAAATCATGTGGACAATGAGTCAGGCTTTATTACTATAATCAGAAAGACCATTACGACAATGTTTCCCTCCATCCCCTCACCCTCCCCCCAAGAGTGACCAGCACTAAGCCCTCCGTCAGAAGCTGGAAATCCTGGAATCCACATGGCCAATTAGGCAATACTAGACCACTGGGAAGCATTTCTGGTTGGCTCAGCTGGTGATCCGCTTTTACCCTGCAGCACCAAGATTGATAGACCTTATAATTTTATCCTGGTTAGTGCAGATGCTATTCTTACATAAGTTTTTATTTAAATACACGTGCACACACACACACTTTTTCTCAAAAGAAAAACAAAGCTAAGCCTTTCCCAAATGACTTGCCTTGATGATAGACATCTCTTGGTGGTGTGATCAGTACCCTGATCACTGGTTAGGGAAAAAAAAAACCCTCGAGATTTCCAAATTTGCAGTAGTTTAATTTCAGTGCATGCTGGGTGTGCTTGTTTACCAGAACGAATGAAAAGGAACAGTAATTTGGCCCCCTCTAAATCATTCCTTTTATGAGGCTTCTTTGGATATGAGGGAGGTTGGGAAAGAGACTCATCCTTAGAAGGTACAGACTATAAATTCAGGAGGGTTAGTTTCTCTCGTGCTAATGATGAGGTATAATTTTAAAACCTTACATTCATATGCATATATGGTACACACATACATAATTTGTATATTTGCAAAGCACTGTTACAGAATCTTTGAACTTGATAGTTCTATTAACCCTGAAAGGGAAAGCTGGAGTTCGGATCACTTTGGTACAAAGTAATATGTTCCCTTTCCATTATGTTTGCCCAGCATCCATGTTTTGGAAAGAGACCTTCAAAAAAGTTAACTACATTTTTTTTCCTGAAGAACTGCCACAGTCTGTTCCATATTTATCTACTTCTGTAGTTTTAATTACAAAATAAGCACTAGCTATTACAAGGAATAACTACAGCAGCCAAAAAGATTTTTATAATCTGAGAGAAATGCTCCCATACTGACTCTGCTAAGAGAAACAACTCCTCTTTCCTTGATTATAAAGAAGGAAGACAGATGGCTTCTTGTTTAAGGCTCTAATTTTACTTTCAGCCTCCTCCCTCAGTTAAAAACAAGATGTACTTTGAGGCTTTGAGGGAAAATTTCAAGGGAATGTTTTTTATTCCTGGCTGTATTGAATAATTCAACAAACATTTGAGATTGCTAAGGGAGATACAAAGGAGAAAATGTTTTCCCTTGTTCTCAGGGAGTTTGCAATCTAATTGTGCAGAATTGGGACTGGAGTCATTGAAGTTTTATTTTTTTGCCCCTATTTAATGACCTAATGTTACTGGTAACACATACTGAGGATTCACCACCCCAGCAGTATAATGGAGTTTCCAATCAAATTGAAAGAAAACATAGGGAGAATGCAGAGGAAAACTTAATGATCTCAAGCAGGACTTCTTGAGTGCTTACTGATGTTATTTAATCTTGACAATCTTTCGAGGTCATCCCTGTCATTCATGTTTCACAGAGGAGGAGAATGAGGTTAAGTGATTCATCCAGTCATAGACCTAGGAATGATACTGGAACACACCAAATAGGAACTCTTCTATGGCCTTTTCTTTGGCTGTCCCCAGGTTCCTATTTTTATTTGCTTGGGTTTCCTTTCCAAAGCACATTAAAGCCAACTTACTTCTGTGTTATTCCCCCCCCCCCCCCGTAAACTTTTGGTAATCCTTAAAACTTGCTGTCTTTTATAGTCATGCCTTCTAGAGTCTCATTCCCTCGCATTTTTGCAAATTAACTTTTTTTTTTTTTAACTCATTCTGTCTTTGAGACATTCTTTGACAGGATGAAGCATAAAAGGCTTATAACAGTGCTTGGTATTGATGGTTCTCTTATTATTAACCACAATCTTTAGTTTTATTCCTGTCATCTAATAACTCTTCACATCTCACACTATTTCCCATGGACTCCTTTGGGGCTGCAAATTTCTTGAAGGTAGTGACCAGGTCTGCTATAACTTGTTGCCACCCTACAGGAACCACGGGGGCTCGTAAGAGAGCAGAAGCTTGTCTCTTTTGTTCTCTTTTTCTTTACTCACAGTACCTACAAGTTACTGGAACTTAGTGTGTCCTCTGTAAATTTCAAAAAATACGCATGAATTAATACTCGATTGTTGTGGACTACCATCTGTATAAGAAAACTTAGTTCAGATCCAGTACTGCTCTGCGTTGAGAGACCTGGAGAACTTTATGTCTTTATAACAATTTTGACCTTGGGTGCACTTCATTAGGCTCTTGGTCCCCTTCAAGGCTCAGTTTTCACAACCGAAGAACGGGGCCGGTAGCAACAGATGCCTGTTTCTCCTGGTATTCTATCACATATTCCTTCTTCGTGGAAGGTTTATTGTGTACCCTTTCCTCTGGATAAAAAGCTGCCGTCGGAGCAGTAAGAAGCCATCGGGGACCTCGCGTTGCGCTCCTAGCGGGGACAGCGAGCAACTCCGCGTGCCTCGCCTGTGTCTCCCGGGTCCGGAAACAACCCGGCCCCATTTACGCTGAGAGCCTGCCCAGCCCTCGGGCGCCTCAGCCCCGGGCGCCCCTCTCGCCCCGAGGCACCGCTCTGCCTCGGTGCCACCGCTAAATGGGATCGGCACCGCGCAGGCTCCGACGCGCGCCAAAGGGCCCGGCCTCGTTTTGGCCGCCGCCGCTCGGCCGCCCGCGCGGCGCTGCACTGGGGGCGGGGAGTCTGATGGGAGACGCGCGAGGCGCTGAGGAGGCGGCGGCCCGGGAGAGGGAGCGGGAGAGGGACTGGGCGCGGGAGGCGGGAGGCGGGGGACAGGGGGAGGCGCCGCCGCCGCCCGCCCCTTTCCGCCGGAGAGCAGCTGCAGCAGCAGGAGCGGAGCCGGAGCCGCGCAGCCGCCGCCGCCGCCGCCGTGGGATGTGGCCGGCGTCCACCTCGAGCCGCGCCGCCTCCTGAGTACCCGCCGCTGTCCGAGCCGCTGCCGCCACCGCCGCCGCCGAGCCGTGCGGGGCCAGGCCGCGCCCTCCCCGGGCGCCCGCCGGCTCGCATGCCGAGGGGCTCCGGGGCGTAGCTGCGCGCCCGGCGCCGCCTCCGGGCTCCCCCGGCCCCGCGATGGGCTGCTGCAGCTCCGCCTCCTCCGCCGCGCAGGTGAGGGGCGCCCGCCTCCCGGCCGCCCGCCCGGATGCCTCCCCCGCGCCGCCGCGGCGCCCGCAGCCTCCCGCGGTCCGCGTTGCTCCTTTCAGCCCACCTGCACTCCGGAGCCCCGACCTCTCCCGCGCGCCAGTCCGGCAGACGCCCCCTGCGGGCTCCGCGGCTGCCAGCCCGCAGGGCGCCCTCAGCCCCCCGTCCCCCCTTCCCCAGTGGGCCTCCTCCTCCCAGTCACACCTGAGCGGCCCGCCCCGCCCGCCTGCAGGTAGAGGCTGCACTGGCGCCTCCTCTCTGCCCCAGGTGGCAGCCCCCGTCCCTCGTCTTCCGGGCCTGGCTGGTCTGCGCCTAGCTTGGTGGCGTCTCCTCGCTCCCCACCCGCCGACTCTTCCGTGCTCCCCGGAGGAGTGCCCCCAGCAGGGGCTCTTCACCCCTCTTCCACCTTTTTCCAGTTTCTGCTCTATTAGATGTCCCTTTTCTCCTGCTCGCCGCCCCCCAAACGGGTTCAGGCGTTTAGGCTGGTCCCGGAGCCCGTCCATGGCCCACTTCCTAGATCCCGCGCGCCTGTCTCCCACCGCATCCCCCCGTTGTGCCTTGCCCCCGGGCCCCGCGGCCTCTGTGCATACTGAGGCCCCTGCGGGAGCGCCGGGACTGGGCAGGGAAGGAGATTGGGCACCTGGTGGGTGACGGGAGCGTTACGGAAACTCCCTCTTTGTTGCCAGTGTAACAGGAGGAAGAGGTGCCGAATTTAGTTTTCTGTGGGCACTGGCTGAGTCTTGTCGCCGAGGGCTGAGATGCAGAGATTTCTCCTAGCTTCTACCCTGCCCCCATCCAAATTTTGCCAACCTCCCTCTCTTCTCGCAGATCAGAGCCTTTAACCTGGGTGGAAATGTTTAGACGACTGTATAAGGATCAAATGTAATAGGACTTGACTGCTAGCCACTAATAACTGAGAGGACCTGTTTGTAAATTACCCAATTTAGTGGATTAGTGAGTGTATTTACAAATACGATAAAAAGCAATCAGGGATACTGCATCAAACTGTCTGGTGGGGGTGCATGAAAAATAGGCTCTGACAACGCCTGGGATGTAATCTCACAGTTTCATTAGCGCAGAATTTTACTCTGGTCTCCGATTTGTTTGTTTTAGGGGGTGACAAGGGCTCTTGTTTTTAGAAATAAAGGCTGGTCGGTTCTTAGCGAAGAGAAATTCTAGTCTGGGGAAAAAAATTCCTCCAGAGATCTAGCATCTGTGATAATGCCAGAGTGTTTTGCTGCTGCTAACTGACTATATATAACTCAGTTTTAAATAACCTGCATACTTGTTCTGAAAATCTGAGATCTGTTAAAAAATGACTAGAATTGCAGATGAATGGAGGACATTTATGCCTTATCAAGTATCCATCCTGTTTTTCCAGTTCTTTTTTTTCCCCTTCCTTCACCTTCCCTTTTCCTCCTCCTCCCTCCCTCCCTCCCTCCCTCCCTCCCTCCCTCCCTCCCTCCCTCCCTCCCTCCCTCCCTCCCTCCCTCCCTCCCTCCCTCCCTCCCTTCCTTCCTTCCTTCCTTCCTTCCTTCCTTCCTTCCTTCCTTCCTTCCTTCCTTCCTTCCTTCCATGTTTGCTTATCTGTAGTTTTTTTTTCCCCAAGTAGGATCATAGGCTGATTGGTTTAGTTAAACCTTCTCATTGTGTTAAAATAACAAAGAAAAACCATATGTAGTGTGAGACCATGGTTTTCATATTAACAAGTAAAGGTGTAAAATTACACAATACCTTTCAACTGGGTGGGGATTTTTGGATGGAGGGGGAATCAAGTTGGGTGTTATTCATCAAATATTTACTTAGATGTTATTGTCGCCAAAAAGGTATCTTTATCCTTCCTTTTAGGAACTGGGTAACTTTACATCCTCTTTTGATGGTAAAATACCTGTAAGACAGGAAAGTATTAAGTTTATGGATAGCTTGTTCGGTCCCTGAACAGTTAAATTAGGGAGGGATGGATGCCGCACCAAAGCTGCTGTAATAACAGGTAGTGAGTGAGTCTTGGCATTTGTCTAGCTCACTATCCGACTTTTCAGAATGCTGTCACATGCATTCTCTTTGCTTTTTCCTCCTCCCGGAGACCTGTTTCCTTAAAGCCATGTTCTGCAGACAAGACACATGTCATGCACCCCAAGGGGTGTGTTTTTTTTTCTTGTGAATTCCTATAACCAACCAGCCCCTGTCACATGCCTTTAAGTTCAGCTTTAGGGACTTGTTTTGTTCAGTGGAGGAGCAGGTTTTGTGCGAAAGAGGTCATTTTTCCCCCTTATTTGAGATTTTGGCATCATTCTTCATTTATGAAATATTACCAGTCTGCTGACTTTTTAACGCTCCTTTCAGGAGCATCACCAGCTTTAGAATAATACTGCATCAGAACAAAATAGGGAAGCAGGATGAAATCTTCTCAGTTTGCAACCTCCATACCACTTTGAACCTCTCTGAGAAGCCTCTATTATATTCTCAGGCAGAATGTTTCTTTCATCCCCTCTGCTGGATTGTAAGCTTCTTGAGTAGAGGAATTACTTTTGTTTTCTGTATTTTTGTATCCACTGCAGTGCCTTCTGTACCTTGTACATAATAGTTGCTCAGCAATAGTTGCTCAGTCAGTGAAGAGAATTATATACACAGATTTGAACATCTAGCTGGCAAGTCACGTTGAATGTCAATTCAGCCCTGATCCAAGTGTTGTTTCACTTTCATGGGCTGGTTGACTAATTCCTCCAGGCATCCTTTTCTAGGCTCAGATATGAACTGTTTAACTTGAAATTCACCTTTTCTTAGTGGTAGTATCAGTTCGCAAAATTGAGCAGGTTTTTCCTTTTCTCCTGGGTGTTTTGCTCAATGCTTATATTTCTAATGGAACAGTGGTTATACCATCTTGAAAGAGCTTGTCTGCAAACTCTAATGATAACCTGCGAGGCACATCAAAACACTGCTTTGAGGTAATCTGCATTTCATCTTAGCTTTTCTCAGTGGTATTGTCAACAGAGGTAAAGCCCTGGCAAGTTTTATCAATGTAAATATAGCGTGTTTTTTTTCTAGTAGAGATTCACTTTTGAAATAAATTTATTTTTGCTCATCTCTTGCTTTGTTTTAGACTCTCTTAAGAGAGTTTATGGTCTTCCAAACCGTTTCATCTTTTGCAGTCTGTCCTGGTATTTTCATATTCTTGGCAGTATCTGGGTATCATAGTTTGTCACCAAAATAATTATCCTATTTTCAGATTTAGATAAAAGGAAATTGTCACATTCTATACTAACATGTATTTCATTGCCGAAGGAGTAAATTATTGGCAAAATAATTTGTGCTGTATTGAGTATGTACACCTAAGAATCTTAAGTGTGTCTAATAAGTCAGGGCTCTTTTTAAAAAGATTTAAAAAATTATTTTTAGATAGAAGGGAAGGGAAGGAGAAAGAGAGGGAGAGAACCATCAGTGTGTGGTTGCCTCTCACGTGGCCCCCACTAGGGACTTAGCAACCCAGGCATGTGCCCTGACTGGGAATTGAACCTTGACCCTTTGGTTCACAGCCCACACTCAATCCACTGAGCTACACCAGCCAGGGCTAATAAGTCAGGGCTCTTATAAGACTCTTAATTATGCTTTGTTTTCTTTTTAGTGACCATTGCAAGTTGTTCGGTAATAATAGCACTTGCTCAAAACAAGCCAACATATGATAGTTTTGCCCTAAAAATTTCTTTGAAGTGCACGTAAAAGTGAGGTAGTCTTGGGGTGTTTTTTCCCAACCTTGATCCTCCCTAAGACTCCTAAAATGTATTCCCAACTCTCCATAATTTGTTTGTTCTGTTATAACCTGACATAATTTCTACTCCTATAATAAACTTCAAAGTTCACTTGGAAATCTTCAGATGTATTAAATGTTCTTTTCCCATTGACAAACCAGTTGGAGTGAAGGAAGCTTTTGAAAGATTACTTAGCAAATTGCCCTAAGTCCTTGTTGTTAATGGCTAGATTATTATTTCTCACAGCAGTGCTTTGGAGGTCAGGAGATTTGGCAAGTATTCTGAAGGGTTATGTCCTTCAGTTCTCACCTTAGAAATTGTGAAAAAGATGGAGGACAGTCTTTCTGATTGAGCAGACTGCCCCATCTGTCTGACTTTGGGAGAAATGGTACTTGTCTACTGCCTTGTCCCATAGTTTTCACATTGAGAGCTATGTATTTAACTGTCTCTTTAAAGCTTTCGTACCTTGTCTTGGGAGTAATGAAAAACAATCGAGTGGTTCCCAGATACTGGTTAACTTTTGCTTAGGCTAACTGTTCCTTAACAGATGTTTAATAATACTGTAGTCTCCCATCTGCTTTGTGGAATTTGAAGTCAGATGATCAAAATGAAATTGGAAGAGTGTGGCTGGAATTACCAGCAGGAACTAAGTTTTTCCCTTAAAGTACATCCAGCAGAGTAGATCTGTGCTAACTGGAATGGCAAGTCATTGCACGAAGACTGTTTTTTACTTCTTCAGAATACTGCTGGTAGCAGAGAAGGTCCACCCTCAAAATATGTAAATGAAAGGTAGTGTTAAAATTGTCTGGAAGTAATGTATAAATGCATTGCTGTTTTCCCAGCCATTTTCATATTTTAATTTCTACAATAACTCTGAGGTTGATTTTGCTTCCATATTTATAGCTAAGGAAATTGAGACCCGGAGACAGGGAGAGTTGGCTGAAGTCACAGAGCTTCTGAGTGACCCAAACTTCAACTCAGGTCTTCTGAATCTGAGTACTCTGCCGCTATTTGTGTTCACATGCATGCTTCCCAGATATTACATTGAAGCTCACTTTATCTTTAGAAAAGGTCCACTCAATAAAATTTTGGATGGAGTAACTTCCAAATTAAAGTCATGCAACTATTGTGAACTTTTTTGTGAACCTCTGCAGTTACTATGTGAGGAGCAACATAGTAAATGTAGTTTAGCTAGAATGTTCCCAGGCTTAACAAATACTA